ACACCTGTGTTTGGTATAAACAAACATCTCATGTTTCCAGTGTTGGGGATTAACTAGTTACATGTAACTACTTACTGTCATGAAGTTATAAAATAAATGTAAATGTAATTAGTTATAGTTCCAGAGAAAAACATGTAAAACATTATAGTTACTAATCAGAATGCTGGTGATTACAACAGGCTTCCATCTGAATATATTCTTCTGGCTAAAATGATCAGAAAAACATTCATTCTGTTGTTGTTCATCTTTTCTCCATGCAGAATGGCATATATTGGCATATTTCTGGACAACATGGGTCTGCAAAGCCATTGAGACAAATTTAAGTGCAACATCAGATGACTATCAGAGAGCTGTTCCTTGAAACTTAAAGGTTCCATTCATTTGGCACCGTGCATTTCTTTGGATTGGTTGTCTTGTTTGACTCCGCACTGCCTCTCGTCTGTCAATCAAATCAGCACACACTCCTCTAAGCAACCTGAGTCTGCCACGCCGGGCTGTGACCAGCCAACAACGCCAGGCGGGTGCTCATGTTGTCAGCATGTACACTTTTCAGTGCTGGAAATTCAACAGTATTGTCCTTCTAAAATCAGAAAAGGCTTTTGCTTGGTTCCTGTTCAGTAGGCTGCATGTTTCAACAGTAATATATTATATAACAGGAGTTATGTTGAAGGACCTTTAATAAATGTTTGGCAGTAATAAGTGTTGAGTGCTGTTGTGAGCTGTACACTGCCTGGTTTAAATTTATGTTTGGACTTTACAGCTTTATTGCCAAAATTTTTAATTAGTAATTAAATAATATCAATAGTTACATTACTTATTACATGTTTAACAGGTGAACTAGTACTCTGTAACCTGTTCCATTTAAAAGGTAACCTTAGACTAAATGTTTAACATTGTAATCAATTGACATATGCATTTTATACAGCAGAACTACACACAGACACACACAAGAGAGCCAGAGTAGGAGAGGGGGAGACATTTCAGTTTAGGAGAATCAAGCTGTTGCTGCATAGAGACTTATTGTTTTATGAACACTCCACTGTCTGATAACCTGAACCAAAATACAGGTTAATGACAGCAGCTGTGCTGGGAGGTCGGCCGTACTGGCATTTAAAATGAGCGATGAGAGAGGAAGCAGGACGTTACCACCCTACTCCCCCTTCCTGGCACAATGCATGTTCACACCTGTAGGCTTTTTGGACTCACAAATGTTATGTGCTAACACACACTAATAACTTATTTATTGTGTCAGAGGACTTCATGATTTAAAGTTGAGATTTGATGGATATCTCAGTCAGCAGTTCAGAGTTTAGCTCTTTACAAAGAAGCAGCCTCAAACTGAAAGGGAAAACGAACCATATAGCGTTGTTCATCAGTGCCGCCCTCTCAGGCAGCAGGTTGGCCCCGCCCCCACAAAACAGGCTGAAACGCTTGTGAATGTGTAAAACACAAGAAAACACATTAAGCATTTTATATATTACATATTTTATATATTTATAATAAGTGAATCAGGTTTTGTATAAAGTATTCAACTCTAAACAGGCCTATTATAAAGCCTACACTAGAGGTGATGTAAAAAAAACTATTAACTCAATACAATGTCATTTGTCAGAGGATGAGGTAGTGTGGGGTTGCTTTTTTTGCACTGAGGGGTTGGGATGCAAGGCTATTGTCAGATCAATGTTTCATTGGCCATACATCTGGCAAAAAAAACATTTCAGCACCCTTGACAGCTTCTGGAGGTAAGACAGAGGGAGACGTTCGTTGCCTCATTGCCAAAAGCAGTTCATGAACCATGATACATAAAAACACTGCACATAACAAGATCAGCCAGGATACACATATTATTGACAGCAGATGTCCGCTGTAGAAAATCTGAAATGTATAAAAGTCATTTTAAGGGAACTGGGTTATGGGTTCACATTAGAGGAAAGGAGAGATGAAGATGCTGCAGATCTTCTGTATCAAAGTACCTGCTCACACAGTGGATATATTTTAATTACTCTGTTAGTTTTTGGGTTTGGTTGTACTTAGGTGCACTTTGGTAAAACAACTGCTTAGAACAAACAGTACAGTACAGTACAGCATACTTGATGTTAATAATGGCAGTAAAAGCTCAACAAAGACCAGTTCAGACCTTAGACATGGCCTCCCAGCAAGCTGCTGTATCCATATCATATTGTCCATATGATATGTCCATATATATGTTCTATATAGTTTATCTTAATGTTTTTAAGGAAAGCTTTGAACAATTTTTTTTGTACACAACTGTACATGGAGCTTGGCCGACCGTCTCCAGATCAAACAGCACACAGGTCGTACACATATGTACTTCCACACGTAGTATGAGATGCCTTATCAACAATGGGTAGAAAGGAAATGTAATTAGAGCCAAATCACAGGTATGAAAGAAAGGCCTCCACCCCCCACTGCTGCAACACCTTTCCCCCTTTTTACTTTCTTCTCCCCTCCATCTCACTCTTTCTCGTGCTCTCTCTCTCTTCATCAATACCTCTCTCTCTCTCTCCATCATCAGCACTAAATTCCCATTGATGTTTCTTTTCTTCTGCTGTATCGATCGCTTCATGAGAAGGAGGGGAGGAGGGGAAGAAGGGAGAGATGCCGTTATCTGTTAATTAATTTGTCCTGAAGCCGGCCGCCTATTAATCAGACAGATAAGAAGCATTGGATGGCTGAACGGCACAGACAGGCTGGTGAGGAGGGGAGGGGATGGGGTCAGGGAGGCGCACACGTACACACAAACACACAGAAATACACACAATTAGAGACACACATGCAGAGACTCGCAAAAACATAATGTATGTATGGGAATGTATGCAAACACATAGAATACAAACATGCTGATGAAACAACAAACCAGCACACTCACAGTGGAGTCATGTGTTTTAAAGACACAACATAAGCAGACTCTAGTTCACAAAAGCACATCACACACGTACAAACACAAACCACATCCTGATGTACCTCCATAAGAAAAGCTGCACTTTCAGCCCAATAAATTAATCAAGAGGATTTTAATTATTGGTGTTTCCTTTGTGTGTGTTTGTGCAAACCCCATTTCACTAGTCAAAGGATTATTTTGGTCGGTGTTTTCATCTTTTTTGACCTTGTGTATACTGTGTCTCTGTGACAGTTGTGCACACGTGCCCCCACCGGCCACCACAGCAATGTGAACTCTCAGCACTGCTTCCGGTGTCAGAGTGTTGAAAACGCACACAGAGACAAGTTAAAACATGCAACCAGTGACATTAAATGATATTAATCCCTCACTTGTGTCTTCTTCTCTGCACTTAACCCTGGGGTTTGAAAAGATCCACCAAGTGTGTGAATTAATTTTTAGCAATACCACCACTTGCTTCCCCAGCCCACAGTGAGTGGTGAAGTCCTAAGGACCCTCTGAAGACATTTGCGTCTGTAAATGAGATGTATGTGTGTGTGTGTGTGTGTGTGTGTGTGTGTGCATGCGCACATGAAGACCCCCTTAAGAAATTGACCTCTAATCCCTTCTGATGATTTCATTAAGCAGAATAAGACACTGCCAGTTGGCAACAATACTGCTCCCTTCAATGTGCCACGTGTGTGTGTGTGTGTGTGTGTGTGTGTATCAGTCATCCACATTCATTCCACTGTGTTCCAATACTTTTATGTCTATGTGCATGTGATACTGTATGTGTGTGTGTGTGTGTGTGCAGGCAGCACTATCTACTGTACATGTGTGTGTGTCTGTGTGTTGGAGATGTTAACAGTTGTAGACTGAATGAATTAGAGCACATTACAAACAACAATAGCCTGCAACTTGGACATAATGAGACGCCTGCCATCACCTATCAACACACTGTGAGATAAGAGCCTCACACATAAACACACCAATACACACAAAGAATCACACACCTACTATCTCAAGAGGAGGCACATCGCAGCAGATGTTGCTGAAGAAATATCTGCCTTCTCATCTGCCTGCCAGGATGCTCTTTTCAGATACACACAGACACACACTGTAGGACTGCAGTGAGGTCTGACAGGTGTGTTCACACGGGCCACTGTGTTTGCCTTTCCTATGAAGACTTGCGCTCCCACAAAAAAGTGCACACAGGCAGGTGTGAATGGACAGGTGTGTGAGGAGAGGACAGCTGTGAGGAGAGGTGTGAGTGGGCAGGTGTTCCATTAAGGAGACATGCAGACACATAAGAGAATGACAGAGAGAGAGGCAACAAGCGAGCACGTAAGAACGCAACTGAAAGATATAAAAAGGGGAAGTGAAAATATTACAAACAGCAGAGGAAGTGCAAGAACAGACTGAAGGCAACAAGAGACCCAGACAGAACACAGAGACAGATGTATCAAGATGGATGGAAGAAGGTGAAGCTAGAATCAGACACACAGACGGTCAGTTGCAGACAGACACTGGCAGATAAAAAGGAATGGATTGTGATTGTAGGAACAGGCAGATACAGACGTAGGCAAATAGAAAGACATGGATTGACACCACAGAAAGCAGGAATTTTGAGACCATAGCAGCAATTAGTGTGTGTGTGTGTGTGTGTTTGAGAGCGGTGCAGCAGCGATAGCCAGCATTGATCCATGGAGGTTGTGTCAGGGGGAGATAAGGCCTGCCTTTCCCCAGAGAACAGCTCTGGGCACAGGGGAAGAGGAGGAGGAGGAGGAAGAGGAGGACTCTGGTGAACTGGATGGATGGAGGCTGGGCAAGGAGAGAAGGGTGGAGGGTTGATCGTGACCCCCCTCATTAGCCTCGAAACAAGCTTCATTCTTTTCATTCCTTTTCTTCCTTGTTAGTTTTACCTTTAAATGCCATACGTGCACTTTAACAGCATGACTAAAAGCATATTTATCACTGCAGAATAGTAAAAAAAAAACCTTTTGTTGACAAGAATTCACTTTTTCCCATACAGAATGTTAACTTTTTTCTCTACTGTAAAACAGTAGTGAGTACCAGACTGACTCGGCTCAATCTTCCCCAGGTTTCTCAACGCTGTCCTTGGCAGACCAGATGAGTCTACTGCAGAGTGCATGGATGGAAATCTTGATCCTGCGTGTTGTGTATCGCTCACTGTCCTTTGAGGACAAGGTTAGTGTCTTTATGTGCTTTATGTTGGTTTCTTACTTTCATGAAATCTATACATACATGTTTATTTGCAACCTATCTGTGTTTTTCTTTAGTTGGTGTATGCTGAGGACTACATAATGGATGAGGACCAGTCCAAGCTAGCCGGACTTCTCGACCTGAATAATGCCATCCTTCAGCTGGTCAAGAAATACAAATCCATGAAACTAGAGAAGGAGGAATTTGTCACTCTCAAGGCCATTGCTTTGGCTAACTCAGGTTTGACAGCTGTTCTTGTCCTTTTGCTTGTCTGTGTTTGTGTGAGCATGTGACTGGAGGCGGAGTTAAACCTAGGACCCTCCAGTCCAGTGGTACTCACTTAAACTGAACCATCAAATGGCTGATTTCAGTACTCCAAAAACACACACACAAGATGTTTAACACCTGCAGTTGTTAAACCTCCCACTGTCACTGGTGCAGCCACACAGGCTCATCATTACATGCATGCATACACACAAACACACACAGTCTGAAGCCCACCCCAAACACAGTGGCGATCCCTTTTATAATTAGCATAGTGGTCTCTTTAGATGCCTGTTAAATAAGGTGAAATCATTACAACCCAAAGTCTGTCGATAAAGCTTCCTCTCTGATGTGTCCGGCTGCATCGACAGCTGACTGACACACACATACACACACACACACACACATGCCTTCTTCTCCTCATGACCCGTCTTTTGAACTTTGTCTTGGAAGCCAGCCAGCTCTTCAGTACTCTTTAATTACAAGGGGGGAGCTGTCAATACAATGTGTTTAAATGAGAGAATGCAATGGGAGAACTTTGAATAGGGCGGGAGGGGGTTTTGTTCAGGTTCTGGCACCATCAGCGTCCATGCTCACACCCCAATATTCACACACACCGATACACTCCCACACATCCTCTTGAATATGCCAGTTTCATCTCACCGATACAGTCACTCACCACAGTTCTGAACGTGTGTGTGTGTGTGTGTGTGTGCGCGCATGCGTGTCACTTAATGCTGCTGACTAACGGCTGACGAAGCCGGCTGGACAGCAGCGATGATGCTGATGATAACAGTGATGGTGGTGAATTAAACGGTGTTGTAGAGACTGAGGGAAAGATGGTCTAGACATTAGTGCTACAGATAAAATAACTGCTCCCTTTCAATCATTTCAAGGTACTGTCCATCTAGGAATATATAATGATGCATTTCATATATATCACATTTCATGACCTTTTTAACCTTTAATAGATGCTGAAAATACCTCAGTGGAACCGAAACATTCTCCAAGCTACAGAAAGCCACAAGCAAATGGAAAAGTAAAACACATGTGAAGCTCATGTTGTTAGTGACAACAGTGTTGATCCAACTAGACCTGCACCTGTTAGTTGTTTCTTTATCAAATAATTTACCTGTTTTTTTCTTGATTAATCACCTAATTATTTGCTTTATAAAAAGTCACTAAATACAAAAAATCTGCCGAAGAGTTCTAATATGACCTAATGTGACTTTTAAATTGTTTGACCGGTCCAATAAAAAACAAACAACAAGCAAAAGCTGGGACTGGAGTTTTGCTTAAAAATTGGCTCAAATAATTTATGAAAATAGCTGCCAATTAATTTTCTGTAGATGGAATAGTCAATAAACCACCTAATGATCAGAGCTGTACATCTGGCTCCAGTTCTGGTTTTTATGTTCCAGTGCTTTGGACAGGTTAAGGTGGACAGTTAGATCTAAAAATGGTCACTCTGCATAAAGTGTGGTATTGATACTGTGTTTTCATCTTATGATTATCTTGTGTTTTCTTCGTGTCAGGTAACATGTCAGTATACTTACTACCAGAATACTGTAAATATTATTTATGTCAGGCTGAAGTGCTGCAAAGCTGACTCCCTGACAATTTAAATGTCTAATCAGAATGTTTGTTTTATTGTGAAGGCGGGCATGTTGCTAACTCTGTCAGAAGCCGATTACGATTTGCCAGTTAAGAACACCTGATGAACAAAATCCTGAATTAGATCCTGAACTTAATTTCCCTTCTACAGGATCTGAGTGTTTGAAATAGACATTTTTAGGTGATTGAAATCAAAACAGCTGATGCTCAAATAAGAACTTTGCATCTGTTGCCAGGCTCTTTATCTGCTCCTCAAGACAACAGAATGCTAGCATTAGCATTTTGAAGGGCACTGACACTAATTAATTCACAGGATGCTAATCGTCTGCATTAATGAAGCCAAGCCTTAAGAAATGTTAGCAAACGTGCCCCACATGTAAAGACAGCTAAACTAGCCATGGGAAACAGTATGCACTTGTGTGTGTGTGTGTGTGTGTGTGTCTGTGTGTGTGTGCATTGGTGTGTGTATGTGAGTGCATGTGTGTTTTAACAGCCTTTCGTGCTCATGCTCATTAATATCTGCTGTTTTACTTGTGCACTGCAGGTCATGGCACAGGCAGCAGCAGTTTGTACTAGATTAAATACGAAACACATAATATGAATCAAAAATCATTTGAAACTCATTCAACTTATCTTATGGCCATTAGAAGAAGGAGGATTGTTTTTTTATGACATTAATACTCATTATTTTGTAGATTTTTTTAAATGTCCATAACCTGCTTGTCAGTTTACAGGATAAACTGTAGAATGTCTGTATCATGCTCATTTAAAAAGCAGGGCTGTAAGGTGCAGGGAAATATTTGGTCTAAAATTGTTGTTGTTTCCAAAGATGAGTTATACTAATAGAAAACAGATCTGCAAAACAGTGGTGTAAACTCTATTTATGTGGAACGACCGCTCTTATTTAAAGCAGGAAAAAGCAGAACATCTGAGGACCAGTGGAAGCCTAGTGTTTTCTATTGACCCCTATAGAATCCAACCCACTGGCTGTTCCGCTCTTGCATACTGATGCATGCATTACACTCTATAGATCCATCCCTGTGTACTTGATTGTGTTTGTGTGTGTAAATGTACACATTTGTGTATGTGCCTGTGTTCACACACTTTATGTTGAATTTATTTTGTCTACACAGTCTGTTTTATGTTCCATTTACCATTAAATCGATGTCTGTGTAAATTCATACTTTATTTGTCAAGATTAGTTAGTATGGACTTGTGCGTGGTGTAAGGATGTGTTTGTGCACAAAGTGGAGGATGGAGCCCAAGTCAGCATCCCACAACAAACACCAAAGCTGCTCTAGCATGCAATGACACTTCAGAAAATAAAAATGAATGCTTTAATTGAACCCATTAGTTACAATGCAGCACACACAGACACATGCTTACACATAGTATTTATACGTCCATCATTTGACATGTTGCTATCAAATACACAGCTCCCCTCAAAGAAATGGGTGAAAGAAAGAAAGTGAAATTGTGCAACGTAAAGTAACTTGTCCATAAAAGGTCATGACAACAGCTGCGACCATGGGTGGACAACACTGGCTCCTAGTCTCCCATGTGCACACAATGATTTTGACACTATTAAATCCACAACACTTTTATTAAAGCTTATGTAGAGTGCTTAAGTCAGATTATGTTGTCTTTGTGTGCATGTGTGTATGTGTATAAAATCCCTTAGTAGAAATGCAAATATGCTCACCTAGGTCCTATATAGTTTGTGTGTGAGTGTGTGCATGTGTAGAGGGGCTTTGTGATTATTATTTAACATGCATGTAGTCATTGATCAGAATCATTGATTGAAGGTTGGGAGCTAAAGGCCAGCTCACATTAAGACTTTGCCTCTCTAAGGGCCAATGTGGAGTTTTATTACTGAGGGACATTCTCAGCCATTACTGCCAAATGCATATGCATGTACACACACACGAGCACACGTACACACATGCATGTACAGACTCTCAGGTGTCTCTGCCTCTCTCCATCATTCTACAAGTGTGTTCTCCACCCACTCGCCTCGTCGTCTGTCCATTCATCACACCCACAGACCCGCGCTGTAAAGACAGTGACTGAATTCTGAGGCACATTCCAGGATGTAGTTTCAACCACAATGTGCTGGTTTTAAAGCTACACTACAAAACAGCGTTATAAGTATGTAGGCATTTTGAAAGTGTGTTTAACAGCAGAGTACTACATTCAAAACTACTTTGAAGACCATATAACATCAGCTTTCTCCTCTTTTTATCAGTTTAAAGGTAACTATTTTGCACTTTTTTGATTATTAGTAACTATAACTATTAGCAATATTTATATTAAATATACATTTCAATACAGTACGATACAACTTAAATAAGTAGAATAAAGTTTCCAACCTTGAGTCATGGCTCTCTGTGGCATCCCTGCTTTGTTCATGTTTGGATTTTGGATTAGCTTTTGACAGGTTTTTTTTTTATTATTTATAGTGAGTCTCCACAGCAACAAACAAGCAACCTATCTAATTTATTCATACATGGCCAATTGCATTATGTTTTAATAATGACAATAAAAAATAACCCCTAGTGTTCTTTTATTTACATTTGTGTGTACAATTAATATGAAAAATATACTGTAACAGTTAACCTTCCTCTTCAGATTTAGCCATAAAAACAAAGACACTGTGGACTAGAATGGGTGGAGGCAGTACTACAAATGCTTGCTCAGTTATTGTTTTGTTTACATGTTTTTGCCATGCCCCCCCCTCCAGACTCCATGCACATTGAAGATGTGGATGCGGTGCAGAAGCTCCAGGATGTGCTCCATGAGGCTCTGCAGGACTATGAGGCTTCCCAGCACCAGGAGGACCCTCGCCGGGCAGGCAAGCTGCTCATGACCCTGCCCCTGCTCCGTCAGACCTCCACCAAGGCTGTGCAGCATTTCTACAGCATCAAGCAGGACGGCAAAGTCCCAATGCACAAACTCTTCCTGGAGCTGCTGGAAGCCAAGGTCTGAGGGTGGAGGAGTAGATGCAAGACTGCGAGACACCGGTCTAGACCACCTGAGCTTCAACTAAAACTCTGTACCACAACTTTGAATGACCTCTTGCCCTTTACACGCACACACTCTTACACACATGCACACACTCACAGAATATGTTTCTGAAGCATGTCTGCTGACGTGTTGCCCTATGAATAAACGTAACCTAAACCTCTTACCTGACAAAACGAAACCCACTTGACCTTTTATTCTGGGGAGGATGCTGACAGACTGACATGACCCCTCTATTACCAAGGAAAGATGATATTTCCTTTTAAAATGATTAATAATCACATAACAGTTACCACAGTGACTCCGAACTCTGATGACAGCGAAACAGTCACTTATGCATTTAATTATGATTAAGGTGTTAATGACAAATGCTTCAATTAGGACGCATTTAAAGGAAATCTTTTCCTTTTAGTTCTGCGAGACTCTAAGACTGCACTCGTGTCTCCTGTTCCCTCCCCGTTTCTCCCAACAGAGTTTTTTAAGTGTTCAAGCAGAAGACGAGTGGAAAAATTAGCACTAGAGAAGAATTAATGACGTTTGTTGCCAGATTACATGTACATTGAAATTTGGATGGAAGGACAGAAGGAGAAGAAGAAGAGATTTGCCCTGCCAAAGAATGGAGCTCATCCATTCAGAGGATATCAGCAAACTGTCATAACCCAAAACTGTTTCTGGTTTGAGCTACCTGTGGCTTTCAGTCCAGGCCCTCCAGAGTGCTGCTGGTTTTCAGTTACACCAGTTATTTAAAGTTGTTGTGGTTGTGAGAAAACCAGCAGGGCTCAGAATGTTAAGGACCAGGGGTCTCATTTATAAAACTGTGCGTAGGATCCTTACTAAACATGTACGTGCACCCAAAAGCCAAAAATGGCACACACCAAGAAATGTTCAGATTTACAAAACTGTGGCGTATGCACACCTGTAAGCAATGTTCCCTTTATAAACCGCAGATCACCTAGAATTGTGGGCATGTGAATCAGCCTCAAATCCTGCCCTGTACATGCCCACTTCTAACCACGAATAGTCAATGCAAAGCACCTCATGAATGGTGCTCTGAGCCTGGCATGCATTTGTCCTGTCATTACAGTGAATCATGGCGACGTGTGAGAAAAGAGCAAAGAAATGTAACTACCCAGACATTGAAATAGAGACACTTTAGGGAAGGTGGCGGCCCAGAAAATGGCATTATTTGGTGGCCCCAGCAAGCAACTCATAAAAAGAAGCAGTGCGAGTGGCAGCATGTTGGTGCTGCTGTGTCGGTGGGAGAGAGTGGACAGTGTCAGAACTTAAAGAGGTCCGATCTAAAGGTACCCTACACCTTTCTACTCCTTTATTAACATGTATTTAATTTGTGTTGCTTGGGTATTTGAGGATGTTTTACTTTGATACGCATGTTCATATTAAATGTGTAAAATAAAAAATCTCATTTATTCAAGGAGTAGACAGTGTGGTGGTGAGACAGCACTGATTAAATAGAACAAATTTTGATTTAAGTTGGATTTTACAAGACAATTGCACTACAAGCGCAAACAGCACTGCTGGATTTTATCTTCATGATAACATGGATCTAACATAAGATATGGAGATAAATTAAATGTGTGAGGCATCAATACTTATATTCGCTTCTCTCTGAGTCACCAGTTCCCCGTGTCTCCAGAATGTGCATACACATGGGTCAGAGCTTACTTACAGGTGTGCACGTTCTTCCCTCAACTTTGGTTTTTATAGATCAAAACCTGTGAGTGGGAAGTGGTGTATGCCACTTTCAGACCATTTAGTGCATACGCCACATTTATAAATGAGACCCCAGGATTGTAAACCACAACTGTAAACACTCTCTGGTTCTCCCTAAATTCAGCTCCTGGTTTCCCATGACTCCCTTCCTTCAACTACAGCTTTACTAATTGTTGTTTTTGCCTAGAATCAGTGACCTTGGCCTCCCAAACCTGTCAGTATGACCACAGTATCAGTGTTTGTGTGCTTGGCTGAAAATGGTTTCAGATATTCCAACCGCTTGAGGAGTGATTAATTGGCAGAGTTTACAAGCTTTACTAACAAACAGGAAAACAAGACTTCATCTGCACTGTCAAGCTTGGCTAACTCACAGGTGTAGGCTCAGTTCACATTCTCTCTGGTGTTTGGACATCTGTTTGAAACCTGCTCAGTGGCCCAGGTTTGCAGCTCCTCACATACCAGTTGGTAGCGATTTCAGTCTGTCATTGTGCCATTAAGAATAGTCCAGTCCATGCTCATCACACAAACTCCAAAAAGTGTCACTTTAGTACTTCCTCTCCTTGCTTTGTTGCATTCACAACTTCCAGCTTATCTCCTGCATCAGTACAGAGATACCTTCGTGATTCATTCAGGAAGTGATGAAGGAGCGTCAGTCACTCACCGCAATGAAAACCTGAAGGAAAGGTGTGCTGAGTAAACTGACTGAAGATCAGCTACTGTTGCTTTGAAACACCTTTTTTAATTTCTATCTTGACAATAATCTTAGCGATAATATCAATATTAGGGATGTAAATAACAGTCATCATGTATATGACATATACCATGACTTTGTTTTTGTTATTAATATTGTCTTCTTAAAACAAAATCAGTCTTTCCTTTTTCTATCAGCTTTACCACTTTCAGCAATTATCATATATATAAATATAACAAGTAATAATGTATTAACAAATCAGTGTTTATCTTAGAAAACTCTGATTAATAGTGGTTTTTAAAGGAGGGGTTTGTGCATATGGACTAAGTCTGCAATATTAACATTAAGGCCAGTGTTAAATTTGTGGGGAGAGAGTAGGAGGATTTGAGGAGAGTTTGTAGCTTCTTGTGCTCTGTGTAACTTGCCATAAGCTATTAGATAACAGTCAGTGGTTTCTTGGATAGTCACAGTTAGGTAGGGACAAATACAGACCAGGAATGTCACGAGGAAATGTTAATGCTGCTTTCACATAATTGTTATTGTAAGGGTTAAGGAAGTAATACAAGTGGTTAAAAACTAAATCAGCCAGCATCAAGTTTGCATTTATCTGCAATTAATGTCTGATGTTTGTACCTTTTTTGTGGCCAGGCACCTTTTGCTGTCAGGGTTAATCTTATTGAAACAAGGCATTTATTTATTTATTTATTTATTCATTTATTTATTTAAATTTAATTTAGCCACATCACTGAGTGTAGGGACAATCAGAGCCGAACTAAATCTGGATTTGCGCTGAGGGAAATGGTGCCAGCAACAGTGAAACATCATCCATGTAACACGACAATGACAGTTTCATGTCACTTCCTGTTATCTAACATGTTTTTTAAATGATAAAATAATGATGAGCACCAATAATTCTGTGTATCATACATACACTAGTGAACTGTATAATTAAAACAGGCCAAGAGACTAAATTGCATAGATTTGATACATGCATTTTTACTCAATCATAAACTGTCTAGTTGGCGTTGTACCGTAATTTAAGTCAGCTACATTAAAATGACCAGTTGAGGTCGTACAACAAAGTATAAAATGTGACTTTAACTCAGCTAAACTTTGACACACTTAAACTGTTGATGGAATTATTTGACAGTAATTTCAGGATACTGTTTAACTTTCAACATCAAATTCTTGTTAAAAATTCTAATGGTGTGTCTAGAAACAGGAAATGGTAAGCTGATTTGACCGGAGGCTGTCCCGCATTTGACAGTCAGGTAAAAGACATTCGTAGCAAGAATGTATATGGTTGACTGATCACAGCTTTAAGGCATATTTATGTCATTATTTATTTAATTTATAATGCCTAATAAAATGCCAAAAAGTGTAATTTAGATGGCAATGTAATCTAATATAGAATGGCAACTTGTCACAGCTGAGGAGTGCTGCAGTTTAAGTGTAGTTGATCTCTAACACATCACATGCTCTGTATCAAACATTACAGTATTATTAGTAAGGGGTATTTTCTCAGCCTTCTTAAACATTGTATATTGTAAATTATACAGATTATAATTCTAACATAAGACATTTTATTGGAAACAATCTAGAAAAAAGAAAAAAAAATAGTTCAGCCTTGGTGTGTGTTTCATGTTCGCTGTTTTTCTGTCAGCAAAAAACAGTTTTGTTAGTTTTATCTGTTTTTGTTTTGAAGTCCTCGTTCTGTTCGAAGCTTTCCTCCTCTGTTGAGTCCTCCAAGGCGTTGCTGTGTACTTTTTCTTGTGGTGATTCCTGTTCTTGTGCCGTGTGCTTCTTCTTTAGATGACACAGAGTAGAGTAGAGGCCATGTTGTCCGTCTGTCGGATCAGTCCACTGAGGGTCTGGGAACCCAATTCTCTTACAATGAACCGAACAGTATATTAGGCTCTTCTTCTAGAAACTTAACTAGACCACCAGGATCAAATTACAGTGTTCATCTTTACCAAACTATACATATAATAATTAAATATTTTGTATCTAAATGAAGAAACACCTTACAAGTATTTAAAAAGGGATCATTTGTGTAAATTTCCTGTAGAGCAAACAATATAACGTATATCTCTAGGTCTAAATAAAGGTAAAATGAAAAGGACATTTGAGTAATTCTGAACTGTAGATGACTCTTTGTTGAGAAACTCGCTGTACATAACTGCCTTCCATACAGCTTGGCTCAGCCATTACCTTTACTGTTTCAGCAGGCAAAAAGAGAAAATATGAAGATTTTTCCTTAAAATATTTACATTGTTTCCTGTTTTTCCACTTATTTCCAGGAAAATATCTTGCTTTACAACAAACAGGGGAAAGAGATTTTACAGCTGGAGGACAAGACTAGCTTTGTTGGGGGTTGATGGGAAATGTTCTTAAAAACTCAGCATGTTTAGTTTGTACTTGCTGTTTCCATTTACCATAGATTGATTACACTGTGGGGACATGTTTCTGCATTCTATTAGAATTAAACCCCATAATCCAGATTTAAGATCAAAATTTCAACACAATTATACATGTTATTGTACTCACTGCACTTCTTGATACAAATTTACAGATTCATATTCTGCTCTACAAATAGAGAATGTGAAGGTACGTCATGCCATGTTGTTGGAGGTACGAGCTGTATTTACCTGCATACATTCTTGTTTTGTTTGGCTAAAAAGTTACATCATTCGTTTAGATCTCACTTTGCTGACTGTGGTAATTCAGAATGGATAACCTTAGCTGACTGTAGCTAACACATAGCCGACCTAAAGATCCCATCTATGAGAGTGACAGACTGATAAATGACTCTGCACCTTGAGCTCAGCTCTCGGTTCAGGAGCTAACACTAGCTAGCAGCTGTCAGCAGATAATGCAGATACTGCAGTTAGTCAATTTCTGTCCTGTCTGTGCTCAAACTGAACACTAAAGTGGACGTCTATATATTGTTGAAGCATCCACTACTATTTTTTCAGAAACTTATAGATGTATCTAGTGTATATCTCTATGATGGAAAATGAGTGTGATCCCCAAAACGGCGCATTTACCCAAAATTCAACACAGCATGAGGACAGCTTCACATTCTCTGTAGCTTAAATTTTAAGGTTCATCAAAGATTGTTAACATGAAAATATAATATAATGCTTTTAGATGAAATATGCAGAAAACACTTCACATGTACAAGATATTTGTAGGTGTCCCACATGACACTTCCTACTTTGATTGTACCTTAAAACACTTTCTCACTGTTAGAAAGATGGTCTTTTTTTTTTTTTTTACCACAAACTGTACAATAATCTACACACAACTAAAGGTGCTTCTTTCTTACTATTGTTTCCTTCTGTTGCTGATTTTATGCATTTATTTGTTTTTACTTTATTTGTCCTTTCAAACAAATCCTGTACAGTTGTGAACAGTTCAACACAAAGGAAGATGTGAAATGTCTCCCCGAGGTTATTAAGGCTGAGCTGGATTTACTTAATAACTGTGTTCTAAAATGAAAGCAGCTAAATTTCTGATATTAAATATACTGTTATTTGATTTTTTTCCCCAAATATCCAGTATTTATCAGTGTCAGTCAAGTTTTGTTAGTTGGGTTCTGCAAAACTGCTGCCATTCATGATGATGAATAGAAGCAGGAGTTGGTATCACTTACTGATATTATTTAGATGTACATTAGGGTTTTTTTCTTTCATCGGTTAAAAAGCAATATTTTGATGATCACACCATAATGAGACAAGAGTTGTACTTGTTTGTGTTGGGCTATAGATCCAAATGCTAATGTATCTATTGGAATGATTCTGCAGTCATTGTTAAATTACCCACAACAAACCAAACTGGTACTTGCACGAGGAGCAGTGGAAGACAGGCTGTCTGGCTTTTTGCTGAGCCACTGATAGAAAGAGTCTGACCTGTTTTTGCTTTGGGCACCATATTATCACCCCCATCTGGATCTTAGATCCATTAACAGCAAATATTTAGCCACAGTGACAGAGGGATTGCCCATCTTCCACGGCTGCCCCTGAAAACTGCTAAGGCCAAAATGTGTCTATCTGCAGCTCTACAGTGTTTAGGCCTTTAGGTGAATTTAATCCCCAAATGTAACTGCCACTTGAGCTGCAGAAATTTGCAAAAATGAAGAACATATTTAAGGGAGAGAGAAAGTTGTTACATTTGACTGAAAACTATATTCAAGGATAAAAAGAGGTGGTGGAGAAGAGCTGTGGATGAAACAAGACCATGTAGTGTTATTAAAACATGTCTGTAGAGTTTAGATGTGCTTCACATCAGTAAATGAAAAAAAAAAACAATTACCTGTATATTTTTGTGATGTGTATCATACAAGTGTGCTCCAACAATAATGTCCATTTGTGTAAATGTATTTATTTCACATTGTATATATTGTTCAATGCAAAAAGAGAGACCTATGATTCTGTAACTTAAGCTACTATGGGTTGAACATTACATGTGTTACTCCAGACTATGCCTTTCAGGATTATTACAGTAGAGCAATATCAATTAAAACCAGGCTTCCAGTTTTGAAATCTGTCTTGTCTCTGATTCTCTATCCATGTAACTGTTTCCAATACACTAGAGAACGGCCAGTAATAACAACGACTGACCTCATAAGTCATGACATGAAGACTATAAAAGCAAATTTTTTCTCCTATCAAATTACACTGGATTAAAGCTTGAGTTTTCCATAAAAAAGTAAAACAAAAAATAAACAAAACATAACTCATTGTGGCCCAAGAAATAAAAGATACTTGAGCAGATTTTGTCACAATCCCCTGCACTTCCTGTTCAAAGCTTTTATTTTGACACACTTCCACCTTCACAACTGGGCCCTGTCTCAGCTCCTGTTTCTCTTCAGCATCAGCATCAAGCCCTGCACTTCAGCCATACACTCACACACTCTCCACAGGTGTCACCACTTATACTGATTAGTTTTCTTAGTTTAGTTGCCAGGTTTGCTGTTGTACTTGCTTCTAGCCTTGTCCTCCATCTTTTTAGTTTCACTGTGTATTTTATTTCCTAATATTCCTTGTGTTTTATGTTTTGAACTGCATAGGTTTTATGGATCTTTGCCTCGTACATCCTGGATTTGTTACTTGATTTTGGACCGATTTCTGACCTCAATTTGGACTTTGGTTTTTGTCACTGCTACTCCCTCTCCAGTTTGCCTGCCTATACATGGTAAGCTACACAAGTCTGTCTTAAATAAATCTGCGTTTTTCCAGGCATATGCCATTATTATTGTTGTTATTAATTTTTTTTTAAGTGGGTTGCGGAGAGGTAGACGGGAAGGAGGGGAGACAAAGGAGCAGACCAGTGATATAGGTCAGCAGCCATACTCGAACAGCTGATGTGGAGCAGACACTGTGCTGCGCCATGCCCCAATCTGTGTTAAATAAACAGTTCAGCTTCATCTGATAGCCTTGTGAGAACTTTGCATTTGGGTCCTACACCTCAGTTTGAAGTTTCAGTAGTTAAGACTTAACTTTTTTTTTTTTTTAATTGTTTTTTGTTGGGATGGGACAATATATATCGAAATTCAATATCACAATACAAAACCATCGCAATATGTATTGTTTTGTCTAGTGATACATATCATGTGGACTCTATACACCAGCAACTTCATACTTTTTGTAAATAGCCTAACAGAATGTAAGTCAATATATCTGGTTGTTTACTGTGCATAATCAAACCAGTGCTTGAAAAAAAAGGAATGACATACAAGTATTCCATAGCAGGTCATGCATTGCTGTCATTGAAATTTTAATTGTATCATGATTTGAATCGAATCGTACACACCATATTGTGCGTTAACCCGTACTGAGAAAAAGTCGCATCATCCCACCCCTATTTTAATTTATTTATTTATTTATTTATTTATTTTTAAGCCATGCTAGCACCCTGACACTCTGTGCGGTACTGTCGGACATACGATTCTCCACTTCAGCCCAAATTAAAATTTGTAATTTACTGACTGGATCGGCAAAATTATGGTCCCCACAAAACTGGCCCTAATGTCTTTCCTGTAACCCCACTAGAAGGTTTATATGCGTTATTTTTGACTGAAATATCTTAACCTTTTGATAGATTGTGATGAAGTTTGTGGTAAAGACATCCATCTTCCACACAGGATGTGCCCTATTTTGGTTTATGACCAAATACCTACAAAAAATGGCATTCCCATCAGCCGCAACTCTTTAGCAAACATTGGCATGGCAACTTTTTTAAACTGATACGATGATCATGGTAAACATTAAATTAGCATTTAGCTAAATGCACGGCTATGCAGCACTAGCATTGCTTTAGACTCACTGTAGAATGTATTTTTGTGCTCAGTTAACAAGCTCTGCAGCTGCAGTTGTCAATGCTGGGGTCATACAAATCACTAATTTGCTGAACACTCATCTATCTCTCGAATGTGGTAATCTGTGTTTCAGCAACCAGCTCTTTTCAAATCAAATCAAATCAAATTTTATTTGTATAGTGCCAAATCACAACAAAAGTCATCTCAGGACACTTTACAAAGTAAGGTCTAGACCTTACTGTTATCAATATTATTACATAGGGAAAACCCAACAAATCCCCCTTGAGCAAGCACTTGGCGACAGTGGGGAGGAAAAACTCCCTTTAACGGAAGAAACCTCCGACAGACCCCGGCTCTTGGTGGGCGGCCTTCTGCCTCGACCGGTTGGGGTGAGTGGATAGAGGAGAGACAAAAGAAGAAAAGCAACAAGACACAACAATCAAACACTGATCAGGAGGGGAGGGGAGGGGAAAGAAACTCAGAGCATCATGGGGCCCCCCAGCAGCCTAGGCCTATAGCAGCATAACTAAGGGAAGGCTCAGGGTCACCTGATCCAGCCCTAACTATAAGCTTTATCAAAAAGGAACGTCTTAAGTCTAATCTTAAAGGTAGAGAGGGTGTCCGCCTCCCGAACTGAGACTGGGAGTTGGTTCCATAGGAGAGGAGCTTGATAGCTAAAGGCTCTGCCTCCCATTCTACTTCTGTGGACTCTAGGAACCACAAGTAAACCTGCACTCTGAGAGCGAAGTGCTCTGTTAGGATGATAAGGCTCTACGAGGTCTTTAAGATACGATCTTTTATAATAACTGAAATGAAAGGCTAATGGAGAGGTGGAGGGGGGAGAGGAAATGGTCACAGCTTGCTCTGTTGGGTGGTTACTGTCCATTCTGAATGACCAGATCCCCTGTTCTTGCCAAGGGCACTAAACGTGGTGTGTAACATAAAGAGGAGATGGCACAAAATAATTTATAAATATACTTGTTCTCTTTCTGGTTTATATATAAATGCCATGTTATAATTCCTGCATTTCCTGTTTTAGACAGTCCAGCTTCTCACATCTATCTTCACATGTACTTTTATTCCTGCTCTCTCTATCACCTTCATTCCTTCTTATTTCTCCCACTCTCTCTCTCTGTCTCCCCCGCTAATAGCCAGCAGCAGTAAATGGGATGCAGAGGGCAGATATTTAATGTAGCAGAGAGCCATGAAGCGTTTTAAGAAGCCTTTTTCTAACAGGGGGAGCCCTGACCTGCAGGCAAATATTTTTCTACCAGATGACATAAGAAGATATTAGCCGAAAGATGGCGAGATTTGTCTTTCTTTCTCTCTTTTCTGTTAGGGTTGCTGCCTAGTCACCCAGCCTCCTGCTTGTGTGTTTTATTTTACTTGCTTGCCTTTTGAAGTTCATTTATTTTATTTTATCTTTGATTCATTATTATGATACGATAAAAGCTACTTGAGCATTTCAGCTGCTGAGGGGCTCTTATCGTTAACCTTGTGGAACGCATGTAAGAGCGGGCTCCACACACCGCATTGCTAATGGCTAACTTAAACCCCTCTCTTCTCCTCCTCTACCTTCTTCTGGCTTCATCTACATCTCTCCTTCCATCTCTGTCTCTCGGAGCATTTTATTTTGCTTCTGCTATCTTATCTTTTCTCGCAGTATCTCCTTCCACTATATATTTTATTTCTTTACCTTCTAAGTATTCCAAGAATTCAAATTGTTTCTTTGTTTGTTTCCAAAAAACAAAACTCAGTGCAACTTTGTTCTACTCTACTCAGCACTTTTCAGTCAGAACAAGTGATTCATCCATAGCAAATATTTTTTAGGACCAACAGGGCTAATGTACCATAGACAAAACCTTTGTGTGTGTAACATACTTGGCCAATAAAAGTGATCATTACCAGCTACTCTGAACCTGCTGAGAAGAAGGAAGCAGTGTGGCTTTTGCAGTGGACACCTGTTTTTGTGTCTCCACATTTCTATTTCACTCATGAGTAGATGAGTCTACATGTTTGGTATGATGGCCGTTAATATCCCAGACAGCCTTTGTAGACTCATTTAGCAACTACCTCTTTTTAAGGCACATTTTAAAAATCCAAAAGTGGTATTTTATTGGCACATTTTATGTCATAGAATAAAATGTGAAGAGATATTGACCTTGTGTTAACCACAAACCTTATTTCAGGCATCTAACCAAAACCCACTGAGGGAACTGCAAGTACAGAAATGCTGACTTGGGATCTGGGTTGTAGGAATGCTGTTCTCTATTAGCAGGGTAAGCAATGAAAAGATGGCAATGCAGTGCCTTTCTAGTGCTGGAGAAAGAGTTTGCAGTTTCATTCTTTTTTTTTTTTTTAAATATGGACTTCTTCATTCACAACTAATATTGGAGTCTGATTTTATTTCAGAGGGCTTATTGAGTTTCAAAAAGTCGATGTAGTTTTCTTCAGGGTCAGCCTCTAAGGGTGACAGTGTCTGTTTTAGGTGCTGTGACCTGTAAAGTGCTAATGTGTGGTAGCTTCACACTGATGGCCTGTTTTGGGACTATTTAACCCTCCTTTGTGTGGGTAGGTGGGTGGTTTATTTTGGCATCTGTGATTTATAGTTTTACAATCTTTAGGGTCCACATGTGGTCATACTATATCTAAGCACTATTTGTGTGTCCAAGTTTCTGCGTGTTTGAGAGTGTGTGTTATCCCTGTATCCATTTGTATCAGTGGTAGGCTTCCCCTGGGTTTCACAGGCCTGGTGGCATGGGCTCACGGTGGTAATGGCCTTTCACAGCATCTAGCTCCCCTGACACGCAGATAAGGGGAGCAGCACAGTGACAAACTAGGGCACAGAGAGAGCAAAATAAACAAAATACAGTTCATACAACAGGTATAAGTAATAAACATTATACATATTACAGAAAATGTTTTGAAGAAACAAATTGTTGATAGTCCAAGTATCTCATATGACTTAATAAATTAATCCTTTTAAAATATTTTGCGTGTTGAAGAAAAGAAGCATGACAGGGACTGAAAAAGGTGGCATGAGGGGAATTTAAAAGTAACTACTGTATTTTCTCCTGCATCATTATCGTATGTCTGTTAACAATTGTTTTTTCTCTCCCTGTCCTGTTCTCTATTGACCCTCTCACCATCAAATCACATAAGGTCCACCTAGCTTACATGCTAACTAGCAGACCACTCTGCTTGTAGTTTATGGTCCCTTGTTGCAAAGACCTTCAGGGATTCATTTGTTCTATGTCCCTGTGTTGCTCTTTTTCTTTTGTTTCTCAATCATTTTGATATTCCCATTTTTCTAGTTGTTTTATCTTATTTACTAACAATACTGATCACCTTTGTTCACTTGTTTTTCTCTCTTTGTCTCTTCCACCATCCCAGCCTCTGTCATCCTTCTCATTCTGTCCCCATCCTTCTATCTCAGAATGGCTTAGGTAAGACTGTGCATCTCAGGTGCATGTGCAAGCTATAAGAGGGTCAGCTGTCCATTTCCACATGTATTGTCTTAACTCTATATGATGGGCCATTTATTCTCACTCTCTCTTTCTCTTTTCCTTTATCTCCCACCATCCCATCTTCTTTCTGAGTCTATTGCCCTCGGTCTTTTACCTATGACAGTAAATGTTTTAACTCTCCATTCTATGCGTCATTTGTTAAGTTAGTGTACATTAATAAATACTCTGATGTGTCACTAACCAGTGAATTAGTGGCACTTTACATCCCCCACTACTGGCCAATAGACACTGTACCTGGAAGTTTTTATATGCAGCAGTCGTACTGTCCTCAGAAAACCAATTGGAGCTCCGTAGGGCTGTTATGAAAGTTAATACTGTGTTGGTATTTAAAACACAAATGATTTCACAGTTCTTATCTCTGTTGACAGAGTGTCATGATACAAAAAATGCTTTGAATGGCATCTTGTGTAGTCTAATTACAGTTGACAGTCAAATGTTATCACGTGCGTGATCAGAGCAGTCGAGCATTATCTTAATGCCATGTGTTAATAATATCTCTGGATTACCCGGTGGTTGTCATAAAGAAAGTCAAATGAAGACTGACTGATTCTCATTCAATATCACTAATATTTATATAATAACAGTTGCACTGATTCCAGCAGGCCACAGTTTGCAGTCCAGAATCAGTCCTGTAGTACACTATGTCCAATATGCAAACATTGTGTACCATTGCAAGAAGTGGCAAATAAATCCCGATTCCCCTAATTACATCCACCTTTCCTTCACTTGCCTTTTCTGTCTTAGTCCTGTCCACATAAGCTGCACTAAATAAATGTGAGGAGAGAGTTACTGAAGAAACACATTTATACAAACAAGATGTTCTTTCCTTGAGTCCATTTGGACTGTCCAATCGCCAACAGATTTATGATAAAGGGGTGTGACAGTCCACAAAAGACTTTCATAAAGGATGTTACTGTGTTTCCTCCAGGCAGCCTTCTTGCTCCTCAAAGCAGGAATAAGAGCTTTGGGATGTCCTTCAAGATGGCAGACCAAAATGATTTCCAGGTTGATTAGGGATCCAGGAGCGAGAAATGATCAGAAAGGGAATTTGGATTTTACACTGTTGCTGCTGGTAAAGTAAATGGTCTTATGCCTTTTTACACCTTGAGGCATGCTACATGTTTTCCTATTCACACACAAGTGACATCACCGAGAGCAATTAGGGGTTCAGTGTCTTGCTCAAGGAAACTTCATGTGGACTGGAGAAGCCAGGAATCGAACCGCCAACTCTCCGGTTAAGAAGATCTACCCTACCTCCTGATCCACAGCCACTCCGACTGGGGTGCTGAAAGGGAATATATCTGATGTGAGAGAGAGCAGAGTTGCCATTCCATTACCAGAAACATTACGTGGTAATACTTAGGTTTGGACTTGATGGGGCATCGTGTGCAGGCTAAGCTAGCTGCTGTGTGATTAGTAAATCAATCCAAAGTACTTTCTACTGCCTTCTTGTTAAACCACAATGCCTAGTTTTCTGTTTAAATATAAAAACTGCAACATGCAGCTGTGGAGTTGTTAAAAGCATCTTTGACAGAGCTGGGATGAGTAGAGAAAGTAACCAGGAGCGGTGCATTACTGCAGCTGAGTAATCAGTAAAGTAAATGCTTCAACTGTAATGTGTAATTTGTTTAATGATGAACCCGCACATTATCTCATGATTGGGTTGTACTTCAAAGGGGCATTTCTTTGAAATTAAAATTTTCCAAGCAATATGTTATGTAACATTTTATTTTATCCTATGCCTGCTGTTGTATCAGCCATTGCTGTGGAATTTGTTACTTAAACTAAACAAATTCAGAGCATTTCCCATGGATGAATCTAAGCAATGATAGCTGCTTAAATCCCAAAAGTTAATAATACAGCCTTGGAAGGGGAAAGGTGATTGGCATAGACAAAGTGTGTGTGTGTGAGAGAGAGAGAGACTGGATGATTATGTGCATTGTCAAGAGAGGCAGGAGGTTAATTCAGTCCTATAGAAACACAGCATGGAGGGGATTGGACAGCACAGCCCTGAGGGTGTCACTGGCCTCAACCGCAATAGGGGGCAAAAAGCACGCACATATACACATGATATGAACGCAGTGACTTGAGGGTATAAAATCTGAAAAGCCAAACTGTTTTTGTAGCTATGTTCCTGTGCTTTTCATTTAGAGTCAGAAGGATAAATGATGAACATAGATTAAAATGTATATTTATAGAAAATGCTGCATAAAACAAGGACAAGAAAGAAGTGGACATTTATAGAGGAGCAGTGATGGAGGGTACGAGGGATTGAGGGCATGGGGAGAAGAGAGGGAATGGAGTGAATGAAGGAAAGAATGAGTGGTGCCTGTGGAGAGTAGGCTGGGTGGGAGAGTTGTATGAGTGGAGGACAGCAGTGACCAAAATAGAAAGTATAGATAGCAGGATGACGCAAGTGCCAGAGGAGAACAGAAGCAATAGCCTAAATAAGCCTTAGAACAGTATTCGCACCAGCAACTAAGCATGATGCTGTGGTGCCTGCATATTGGATGCAAGCAACTATAAATTATATTTGATTGAAGGACTACAAAAATGTGAACAATCTGGTTGGGAATTTTGCTTGGTCCCCCTTCCTTTACTCTCATGGTGAGACAAAAAAAATTGACCTGAGGAAAGTTGGCACTTTTGCAAGGTTTCTATCAAGCTGGACTTCTGTGGTATCAGCATCTAGCAGCCACTGTGATACTGCATCTTAAGGCACTGCCAAACGGGCTTCAGCTTTCAGCCAAGGTGCTGGTCACCTGAATTGTTGCACTACAGGGCATGTATAGTCTGGATACTGAGAACAACAGCGAGGAGAAAAAAGCATAGGCCCTATTTTGAAGATCCAAGGTGTCAGATTATGATGTACTGGTGCAAATGGTGTTTGGGTGTATCAGAGAGGAAAAGCAGAGGTGTGGCTTGGGCGTAGCATGCAATTATCCCCTTTAAGAGACGTGTGAGTCTGAATGTTTGTCGGATTGCTAGTGTACTGGTGGAGTTGGCAGGTTTGATGCCAGTAAGATTTTCCACTAAGGAAATGGTCTGATATGTTTTATATACCAGGGTGTAAGAGCACCATTGGTCAACTAATTAAGCAATTCAAGTTTTGCATGTCCTGTGCAGTGTGTCATAGAGTATAACAAGCACAGTGCATGAGCATTGTACACACACATCACAACACGGTCAAAGTGCCCATTAAACAGCAATAATGATTTGACTGCAGACAATGCGTTTGTTGCAAGATGGGGCCCTTAGGTTTCATGGGCCAGGACTTCTCTTTGTTTTGTTTTTTACTTTTGTTTTTCATAAACCTCAGCAAGCTTCAGTTTATTCCAACTTTTCATGGCAAACTAAAGTAAAACAATCCGCTAAGAATTTAACCACCATGTGAAAAAGCATTTTTGTGCACCAAAATTATTAAAATAGAGCCTTGATGTTTCCATAACTGAGTCACATTTTGTTTGTGTTTTGCACATCAATAAAGTTGTACAAGAAAAAGAATACAAACAGGAGTTCTGGTGTCCTCTACAACCGCTGGTGCTGTTGGAGGGGAAGATCATTTTAAAGAGGGGGGAAAATGATAATGCACATGTATTGTTTTTTTTTTTTCTGTATTTGCCGACCTGAAGGTTTTGAAATTCAGTGGACTCAAACAAGTAGTGTGCACCCAGGCTCTCATGATGATAAACTGGGCAAAACGATCAGAGCAGAGCAAGCTGGTCTGCAGCCAAGAAGACACTGATAGTTTAACTAACTAAAAGTCAGGCAGGCTTACTCATGGGAGACCGGTCAAATATGTGCGACAAGTGATTATGGAGCGTTAAACAAAAGATAGGGGTAGGCAAAACTGATGTTCTGGGACAAAACCAGATGATGTTGAGGTGAAGAAGTCATTGACAGACTGATGAAGAGGGAAAGCCAGCAGCTGGCTTTTGAGTATGTCAAGTATTGTTTTGTTTTGATTTATACTTGTACAAAATATCAGCTGTCAGCATATGGAGATGAGGAACAAGTGGGTGGGCATGGAGCGGAGCACTAGCAGGAGGAGGACCAAGGCATGCAGACAGGTTGGGACCGGGCCTAAAGTGAAACAAGGACACTTAATGAAAACAAGAAAAATCCATTAAACCAGAGAATACTGATGAGAGCATATTTTTTCTTTAAAAAATTCCTTATCTACAAGAGAACTGCATGATGCACCTTTAACTTGTGTCTTGTAGCTCTGTGTATTAGTGGTGGGCGGATCAATCTAAAGTATCAATAGTATCAATACCAACCTTGGAATCGGTATCGATTGATACTTGTGTATCCAATTCTCTTTTCTACATTGAGTACATAACCCCTGTTACACCATAGTGGCTGTGCATACACTGCTCCTCTAGTGATGGCCGTCTGACACCGATGCTCGGAAACTCAAAGCAGCATTTTCCTTGAACTACAAAGCTTGCTTTGGTGCTAAAAAAGACGGTGAGCGATCAAGTCTGAATCATGTGACTATACCAGTCGATACTGCTTCATAGCACAAGATGCTTAGTAACACAAAAAAATATAGTTTCTCAATAAAAATCTTTGAGTGTCCATCCCACTTACATAATCACACCCTAAACTACGTTTTTTCAGCATACCTGAAATGGTTCAATACCAGTTCATCACTTCAATATGCACATCACTATGCTCCTCTCACACATAATATATTCAGCCAGCTGAAATAAATCTAAATGAATTATTTTACTGGAACTGAAAAATATATGCCCATATAAAGATTTACCTCAGATATGAACGATGAATATGGCTGACTATAATAACCCTTTTGTGTTAACTGTAAAAGGAACATTAGTGTTCCTATATTTAGGCTACATGCAGATGGGTTATAGAGTTAATTATTTAGTTATTTCACCTAGATGATTCCCCAAGCGCCTTGGCTATCACAAGGAGCCTTGCAGAGATGATTGTGAAGGACCTACATCCTCTCTCTGTGGTTGATGATGAAGGTTTTATAAACTTTGATGAGACTGAAGTTGCCAGAACACAAACTGATACAATCAGTTGAAACAAGGTGGAACTCTGTGCTTTACATGTTTCGAGAGACTACTTGTCTTCTTGGAAAGAGCTCACTGTGCTTTCAATTTTCATTCAAATTTGCATATTGCATTCACTTCATAAATTATGAAGCATTGCTCTGCCCTAACCAAAAGCGGTATGGCACACCACTACTGTGTATATGCTAATATGCATGGATACAGACAGACATCAAGAGAAATCTGAAATCATTGGCAGCCAAATGATGAGCTTGCACTCATCACCATGCAGTTGTTCAGGAGTTAAAAATTGCTGTTGAATGCATTAAAACAGGTGAGTGTGTGTGTGTGTGTGTGTGAGAACATAATGTGTGTATAACATTTTCATATGGACATCTTACCATTGTATTTTGCTTTGAAACACACAGCCTGACCATCAATTTATTCCACTTTTACTAATCAACAGCAGTGCCGAGGATGTCTCCATACATATTCATGCTGCTCCGGAGACTCAGAGATGATACATTTACCATATTACCCCTAATGTTATTAGACCAGCAAACACAATTTAGCAAAATATAAGTCATACATAAGTAATTTAGAAAATGAGACAATATTAATTGTGTGATCGTCATCTGGTTTTAATCCCGTTTGTGTGATAGCACTTCACTCTCTGGAATTGAATGCGCCTGGCTGAATGAATTATTACGATCAATGTATGACTACATTCTTTGTCGTGTGGACACAGTTTGTGCAAATCTATGATAATGTCTTGTGAGGAGAAGATAAGAGAACCTCTTTTTGGCTAACGGTGTTCTTGATGATCATAGCCAATCTGACACAGGGGTGTGATGTCACTTTCACCCTCTGCGAAGAAAACAATAGGAGAAAAATACAATGATGGGTAGAAGAGTAAACTCCAACCTATTCTCTGGTTATTACTCGTATGTTTCTTGTATGGAGGTGCACGGGCTACCCCTGGCTGTCACTAGTCAGTTTTTCTTAATGTCTCTTATTAAGGTGTTTGTCACACTTGAAAAACATCCTGTTGTTGGCTACTGCAGAACTCAAATCCATTAACACACATCATGAATACTGTGGCAACAGCAGACAGCACAAAACTTGGTGCCCCCAGCTTTCTTCAGAGAAGAAAACCCATATTTAGCTATGCATCATTCAGGTGGAACAGACCCTCAGAGGAGGCCAGTGGGGCAAATAGACCTTCATGCTATGATCCATGCAAACAATCCAGTGGGTAGGGAATGTGTATGTAGCAATGTGTAAGAACCTGCATCACCTGAGGAGCTGCCAGACCAAAATGCAATGTGTGACTACGCTGCAGCATGTGCAGGGAAGAGCTGGACCAGAAGTCACTTTGGAATCTTCATGCACTGGTGGCATCACGGTCAACTGTTTCAGAACAACACCAGTTCAAGTGCCCTCCTGCACATAAGGAAAAGGTGTGGTGGCAGTTTGAGGAAGACAGAAGCCTCCAAAGTGGATGCAGAAAAGCCTGGCAGCTAACAGCTTGATCAAGATCATCAACACTATCTAGTTGCAGAGCTATTTGGCACAGGAGAGGCATGAAATCAGTGGACCTTATGTGACAAAGTTGCCTTTATTGCCGACCCCACTGGCTTCACAAAGAGGCACCAGGGGAACAAGTTCCAGACGAACTCAGGGATCACATTTACCACAGCTTCAGTCAGCGAGTTACAGTTGGAACTGTCACACTGGAATGGCATCTACTGCAGAAAGGAATCATCACAGGGAGCGTCTTGTCAGCAATTCTCTTTGCCCTGGCAGTGAGCGTGCTCACCAAGTCTGTGTGTGCAGAGACCCGTAGTCCAAATCTGGTGTGTGGGGCTTTCATGGACATTTCCTTACCATCAGTGTTGAAGTGCAGATTGGTCCTCCAGGTTAATCCAGCCCATCAAATACAAAGACTGAAACACCAGCCTGGACTCTGTGCCAAAGAAGAGTATTTCTGGAGCACATGGCCTGTATGAGAAGGACAAATGCTGAAGGCAGTGGCTGACTACCATGTTTCTGTTGAAAGAAGCAGAAGAGGTAGACTCGCATCCTGGTGACTGGCAACCCATGTTCGACCTTGGGAAACAACAACCCTGACTGGGTCACCCAGATAGGGTGAGAGACCAAAAACACCCTGTGACCCTGAGGAACCTCAATGATGATGTCTGAGATCACCAGTCACAAAACAACATTCTGTTTTGTACTTTTCAAATGTATATGTACAGTACATATGTTTCCTTTTTGCAAATATTTGTGGTTTGGTTTCTCATATCCACCCTCTGCCTTCCTTTTTTATGCTTCCTCCTCTGACCATTCAGTTTTCATCTGCTCCTTTCACCATTTTCCTTTCCTTCTCTCCTTCCCTCTTTTGTTTCTCCTTGTATTTCCCTTCTCCACCCCTTTCTTTCCTACCTCTGTCCTAGCCCCCAGCCAACTCCCCTCTCCTCCTCTCCCCTCCCAGTGCTCCTCTCTGCCTGGTATTGATTAAAAGGCGAACCTCTAATCTCCTTAAGGTCATTAGGAACACTTAATTAAAACCTAGTTAGAATGCCTTTGTTCAACCAAAGCAAATTGCAGCTGTTCAAACGCGATTAGTATGATAGCGTAAAAACTTGTCGGCAGGGAAAAATATAGGAGGCTCTCTTTTTTTGGCAGAAATATTTACACAATTTCAATGCAGAGCACTTGAGCACACAGTCTGTATACCTGAGCTGGCTTCTGTGTATGCGGAAGAGTTTGTTTACATTTTGCTGAAACTAGAACTTAAATATAATTAAAAATGAGCTAGCTCCCTTTATTCAGTTAATCATTATTTATTCTGCTAAGTCACTGAAAGCCACAGGGACCATCAGAAAACAGTGAACTTGGAACAGTGATTTCAAATCTGCTGCCCCATCCTCAGTTTGAAAATGATTACTTTGATTTTGATCATTTTACTGAAGCTGTGTAAGGGCATAAGGTTGTATTTGTAAATGTTTTGTTGATTTTGTTTAATACATGTCTTTTTACTTGTTTTGATGCCTTATATTTGTTTTTTTCCTTTGCCTTGTTTTTACTGTAATTTCTTTTCTCTGGCTCTCTGCAGCTCTTTCTCCCTCATATATGCTCACATAACTAGAAATGAAATACAATAGGTTTACAAAATCAAAATGATAAATAAAAAAGTCTATCACCTATAAGGGTGCATAATGTATTTTTTGTCAGTTGCTTTAATTTACATTGATGAAATTGGAGTTATTGAAGTATTTGTATATTGTCAATAGGATTATATAGATTATGAGAAGCAAATTATAAGAGGAAACATGAACATTCTTCCATCTATTTCATGGTTGCATCGTTTCCTGTTTAGTTTATTTTTTCATCAGTGCCATAATGCAAGACACCTTAAAACTGATGTATTTCGGTATAATAGGCCTACCTGTTATGATGCCCCTATGCACCTTAAATGATTTCCTACCCACGCGGCCTGGCCGGAGCGGATCACCGTTACCTAGCGACGGCGGTAGCGTTCCTCTTCCTCAAGAGCCACTTGTCTGAAACCCAGACGCATCCCACGTAGGTGGGAGGGGGTAAAGTATTACAATCCTGCAGGGGATAACTATTGAAATTGTCCGTGACACAAGGGTATTAATAGGCAATCTTTGGTGCACTGTAACTGATGCAAAGCGGTTATGTCGCACTTTATCTTCTCACTGCGCCCCGCGTGCTCTCAAGTTTCCGTTACTGGGTTAATGCAGTGTAACGCTGAATCGTCGTTACTTCGTGCCCGGTATCCTGCCGCCCGGAGCGCTGCTGGCCAGATGGCGGCTCATGGTAATCTCCTTAACACTGCGCACTGCATGGTCTGAATGCCAGAGGTAAGACAGAGAGGGGGGAAAAGAGCTGTCAGGTTCAGATGTACTATCATTCACGTTTGTCTGTCGGAGTGGGGGTTAGAAAAAAGGACAAACTAATTCGAGTCATGTTGGGAACGGACTACTTTTTCTACAGGAACAGCTTCTGCTATCGCTGACAAACAGGTGTGTGGAGAAACACAGGTGGCTTGTTTTGTCCGAGTGATGCGGGAGCAACAAGTTCACTGTTTGTTGACACTGCACTTGTGATGGGACTTTGTGCTGGGAATCCACAACCACAGGTAAACCACGAGGAGCTACCATATAGTTTTGCGCGCTATCGGCATAGGTTTACACATTATGAGCTTTACAATTTAATAACGGACATTGGAGGCAGAAGGGTCGAAGTCAAGAGATGACTGCACTGCTGGCCTTTGTGTATGTGTGTGGGTGTGTGGCAAAATGTGAAATTGAAGCCAAGTATTGTAATGAAGAGCGCTTTGGCCAAAGCCCCAATTTCTAGCAGAACTTATGTGAAAACCCATTCAGTTGGATAAAAACCTGGAGGCCAGATGCCAGAGGAAAAGGACATGTTTAATTCAATGGAAAATGAAGAAAAAGGGAAAGCAATGTAGCAGAATCAGTTGAGCTGTGCCTCCATCAAGCTGTACATGATAGTGTAGGCTTTGGCTAGGGAATAGCCTGCATGGCATTTCACTCTCCTCAGATTTGTCTCCTGTTGGATGTTGGTCTGACCATGTCTCTCTCTCCTCCTCTCCTGCTCTCTTCTCCCTCTCTAGATCGGGAAATCCCATCCTATCATGTGAAGGCTTTGGTTGTGGTTTGTGTGTGTGTGACAGTCTTGACGGTATAAGGGAGAGCTAAGCTTCATAGCCTCACCCTAGGGGCACTGGCCTGTAAAAAAAAAAATGTCCCTGGAACCATGAAACCATGACAGCCATCACTTATTCATGTGCTGCTGGAAGGTTTCAGAAAGAAATCCTGGTTCTTGAACGTTCCTTTTCCTCTGGGAATGTTCCAGAACCCCTGTCTGAGATGCCAGACCCCTTGGAGAATCCAATTCTGGAATCTTGGGTCAAAGGCCAGCAACTGACTAAAGAGAAAGAAGACTGGAAAACCGAGGAAGGAACAAAAAGAGGAGATTTGCAAAGGAAGAGGCGAAGATGGGGCAGAGCCGTCAGCAGAGAGAAGGTGAAAACAGGAGGGAGTGTGGACCTGTGTAACGTATGGAAGAGGGAAATTAGAAAAGATCCCCAGGGAAGTGGGAAAAACAGGGTAAAAGGAAAAGACGACAGTAAGAGTGATGACACTGGGATTCTGTTAGCTGCAGAAACAGAAGATGAAATCCAGCAGTGGGAGAAGAGGATGACGAAAATGACGAGCTTGCCTGCGTTTTTGTGGCTGATCTCCCTGGAAAACATCACCAAGGGAGAAGTGAAGAGGGAGAAATACATCATGGGGATGAGGTGGAATCAGACCTTCCTCTGGTTGGCTCTCCTCCTCCTCCTCAGCCTCTGTCTGAAACCTGCTTCATCACAGGTAAGAGGGGCTTTCAAGAGTCACTTGTGATTCAAAGATTGCAGAAGGATGGTTGTTAATAATGTGCTGTATAAATTATGACTCTTAAAGAGAGAGATTGTCACAGCAGACATTTTGATTTAACACAGCAGGAAAAGCACAGGTGTTGGATCAATGACTAGAGAACCATCATGGTTCTCTCCTAGTTGTGAAACATGTGTGTGACAGTGAGCCACTGTGCACAGTACCAGTACTGTGAAACACAAGCAGCTAAATGGATTTCAGCTAATATTAATTTTATTGTTTACACCTGTGCTTTTCTTACTGTGACATGTCAATGTCTTCTAATGGAAGCAGCTGTTAAATGAATGCCTACACATTAAATTAAAGTTTCTTTTTTCTCTTGCAAAGTTGATATTTGTAGTGCATTTTAAATACAATATATACTGGGAGATATTTATCCACAAAATGGGTTAGGCTTTATCATAACTCTAATAATCCCTATTTCATTTTATAGCACTTTAAATTAGATTCTACAAATTGATAAAATTGTGCTGATCAGCTGTTATTGTATCCAAATGTCTCAAGTTGCTGCTGCTGCAGATAAGTCAAAACGGACCCAGATTAAATAGAGGGATCACGCTTGTTCAATGTTCTTCTCTCTTAGGGACATTTCCCACGAATGGAGAACATTGCTGCCTTCAAACCCGTGTCCGCCTCCCCACCTCGCTCCACCTGTGGGGTTCCAGAGCGGAGCAGCTACTGTCACTCACCAACCTCCCACACTGAGCTGCTGGCATGTTTTCAGGCCTTCTGTATCCAGGAGTGTCCTTACAGATCCTCCACACCTCCATATGCTCCACTGCTGCTACCTGCACACAGGTATGTAGATCAAATGCATATTATGCTATTTAGGTATTTTAGAAGGATATATTCATGACCTCTGACCTTTTGAGTCCATACAAGAGAAAACTTGATTTAGCCAGTAAACTAGGTTTTTCGATGTCATAAATGATTTTGGCTTGTATATATTTGACAGTGTTATAAAGCACTTTAAAGGTCTTTTTGAGAGACAATAGGAACACACACTTTATTCCACCAGAGGTACCTGTGTGACTGAAGACGATGATGACACTCCTCCTGGGACAGAGAGGAAGACTGGAACCACTAGCGTTCCAGAGGAGGCTTCTGGTGGATCCAGTAGTGTGCTGTTTCAGCCAGTCCAGGATGGATGTGTGGTCTCTCCCCCGTCACAGAAACTAGGAGTTTTGGGTTCCCTCACCCTGGCACTGTGGATAAAACTAAGCTCCGCTGGAGAAATGTGAGTTTACTTTGTGCAGATTTTAAGAAATTACAGTTGGAGTTGTGGATATGGTTGCATCTTTAATAGAAAGAGCTAATCGCTGATGAGTTTTAAATTGACTTGATTACCAGTGTATTCCTACAGTACATGCAGTACACTGTACACTACAGCAGTTGATAAATGGACCCATCTATTTCTTCCTGGGGAATAAAGTAAACAGCAGTAAAGGTCTGCAGACTGAGGCAGATTTGCTTTACCTTGTTGTCACTCCGTTACATAGTTTTCTTATGTAAATAGCCAGATACATAGCAGCCGTACGTGAATGTACTCTCAACACATCTGAAAACTCAGATTTTGTTGGAAGTCGGTGAACTCAAACTGATTCCTTCTAACCACCACACTGGAAAATGTTACCTACCACTTTTCTGCTGGTATTGATTGATGGACTCTGATCTCAGTGAAAAAGATGAGCCATGAAGACCTGTCACTTTCAAGTGACACAACCAGTAAGAGGAGTAATAATGTCACCTTACATTTAGCAAGCTTTGTTGATGCTGTACTGCTCAGTGGTGGAAAGTAACTAAGTACATTTACTCAAGTACTGTACTTAAGTACAGTTTTGAACTATCTGTATTTTGAATATTTTCTTTATCTTTTATTTCATACTTTGACTTCACTACATTTTAGAGGCAAATATTGTACTTTTAACTCCACTACATTTATTTAATAGCTTTAGTTACATTTCAAAACCAGATAAATACAAAAAATACAGTATAATTTTAAGACCTGATTGATCTATGGTGGAAAGTTCACAAGCTACCCAGCAGTAATTCAAATTCAATGCAATAATCCAGTTAAAACCTGCTCCATGTAATGTGATGCACATATTAATGCATCAGTAATTTTGATCAATAATATGATATACAATAATGTGAAATGTGCCATGCTACATAATGACTACTTTTACTTTTAATATTTCAAGTATGTGTTGATATAAGTGCTTTTAACAGAGTATTTTGACACCGTATTGCTGCTTTTACTTAAATAAAGGATCTGAGTACTTCTTCCATCACTGGTGCTTAAAGGTGTGTAGGTAAAAAAGCTGACGGGTCACTACCGCCTTGTCAGAAGCGTGTGGTGTCTGTCAGTTGTACTTTTAAACACCTCGGGTTCCCAAAAGCTGAGTCAGGCCAGATCACACATGGTGAATAATTGTCTTTATCAGGTAAAAAAAGGTAAAAGGTGTCAGACTGAGTAAAAAATCTAGAGGGCTAATGCGGACAGGCTGTAGTTTACAGACATCACATGGCCATCAAAACAGGTATAGGCATGCAGAAGGTAGTGATGACTGGTGGGCAGGTAAGGGTTGGAAGGCTTACCCTGATAGAGAGGTCTGTGGCTACAACACAGAGAATATCTGTGCACATTACAAACCAAATATTCAGGAAACTGTGTGGGCACCTTTTCTTCAGTTTTGATGCTGATTGTAATTTTTTTCTTGGTGTGTCATGCTTCCTTCTTCACTGGGAAGGTGTTGTAAGACTGTTTTCTACCTTAGAATCACTGTAGAAATTTAACTGGAAAATTAACAAAACAATAATACAGATGAATTTGTTCCTTGGAACCTTAGTGCAAGAAAAACTGAAGAAGAAATAAAGTTGTGCATTATAAGGTTGAGTCACAACTACTGATTACATTACTGGACTAATCCAGCATTATCCATTGCTAGTGATGAAATGTGAATCTCTGCTGGTTGATGCTTGCTCAGATATCTGCTCTGATATGATATTGAAAATGAGTTTCAAGAGCTGACAAGAAAGTGAAAGCCCTGCAATATTGATCCAGTAACAGAGCTGGTCTGGTCTGGTCTGGCCTGGTCAGTATCATCATCAGGAAATGTTAGCCAACAGTGGGCTGTCATGTCCTACTTAGACAGGCTGTTTGTGAGAGAGAGGATGAGTGTGCTGGTATGTTCCAGGCAGGCTGAGATGGTGCAGAGTTACACACACTCAGATCAGCTTGCAATCACACACACGCTCACACACACACACACACACACACACACACATACACATACAAGACACATGCACACACAAAAAGAGATCAGCTGGCTTCGTGTGGCAATCAGGTCTCTCTCCATATAACCACACTTAAAGTAGATTGCTCGAACAACATGGGATGCTTTGTCATGAAACAAAAAATAGGCTACATTTTGGTTTGTATTTGTCGCAGTATGTGTTGGTGAATGCTAGTAAAAGAACGCCACCAGTTTACCATAGCACTCGCTGTCGGACTCGAGATGGACAGTTTTAAAAATAAATGTATCAAAATCGATGTAGCAGCAGTTTTTGCTGCAGTTTTCTTGTCTTTCTCAGACAAGAAAATTCTGTCATAATTTCAAAACTTGTGGTGTGATTACCTGCAGGACTATACATGTAGTTTATTTGATAAAGTGTCCATGTGGGTTTGTCTATGTTGGCAAAACCTCTCACCCTTTATGCACACGCATTAGTGAGCACAGAGCTATTATCAGATATGCCTCAACAAATTATTGGAGACATTTGTAATCGGAAATTGGTAGTTTTTAAAATATGTATAGATGTGTTTGTATTGTAATGTGGCGGGTGACAATATTGTGAGAAAACTAGTTACTGTATATTGTTGTGCAGTTGTTTTTGTGCTGATTAATCTGGGTGTGGTGTTAAACCTGATATTAGTTTGAAGGAGTCTGTACAGTTTGTACGTTAGGTCAGTGTACAAGACTGTCAAAACGTTATTGGCTTGGCTTGAATAAAAATCATTTTGGAGCATCAAATCTGTATGTGGGCTGTCATCATTTGATTTTACTAGTAATGCATTTTGGCCTGGTGTAAAGATGTTTTTGGGGAGATGCGTGCACTTTTCTCAACACGTTTGTGGACCGAACAAACATTTTTTTGGTTTTGCCTTTCAAGATCTAAGTTATGTCAGCACATTCACATGTTCTCAAATGGCATTGTGCTGAAAAACGCGACTGGTAACTTTGCAGTGGTGATGGATCTGAAGAGAAATCTAGCATAACACAACTGGTTCCAAGTGTATTCTGGTACTGTAACTTGGTGGATGTCCAGTTTAAATGTTGCCATCAGTGAAGTTTACCGCGGAGGAGGAGAATCAGCCAGAGATCAAATCTCTCCATTTAAATTTCATGCTGTGATTTTTGTTTGTGAGGTTACCATGGTATTCAGATGACAAACAAGTCTTGTTGTCTTGGTCTGCCGAACATGACACCTGTACGACTGAATACATCTGAATCGAAGTGATACCCCACCACCACTACTTTCTCTCTCTCCCTCAGTCTTTTGTTGTAGAGATGATCATGGCTGCCATCACAGAAGTCAGATGAAAGGAGGTCTCTGTCTCCACCTCTGTCCATCTCTCCTCCTCACCCCTCTCTTTGTCTCTCCCTCTCTCTGTGATTTCACATCCCTCCCCTCATCTGAACAAAGAACAGAACCGGACACCTGTTCCCTACAAACCCCAGTTTTTATTATATCACAGTTTCACGTCCAGAAACTGATTGTTGTTCGAAGATTCTCATTTGAGCAGACTTTGATTTTAGACTGGTTATATGGAACTTATCCACATGGTAAAAGTGGAGTCAGTGGAAAGCCTTATTTGTTGTTGTGCTTTATTTAAAAAAAGACTTGCTTTTTCCCCACCATCACCACCTCAGATTTTACTGGGCATACAGCTCTGTTAGAAGTCATGATTTCCCATAAAGTGTCAGTGATATTGTATGTGATAGGTGGAGGGTTCCTGCACCCACTGTAGCTGCAGGAACCTAGCAGTCATGGAAAATACTGATATTCTCTGTGTAAATGCCAGAATGAGAGACTGTGTAGTGGTGGCACTCCACTCAACTTCTCTTTCTACTTTTAAGTGAAGTTAAGTGAGTTAAGTTGTAAAACTCCTCGCCTCCAAGCGTGGGCACAGCCAGCCGGGAGTAATTAAGGAGCGCAGCCAAAGTTAGCTAAAGAAAGCACTTTGTCTCATTTTTAAACAAACTGTTTGATTCTAAATAATATCTGGTTTATTATTTCATGAAACTAGGTGGTTTGATTTAGTTCTTACATTTTTCAAATGTGCCACATAGGGTGGCCATAATGGGGCCACCCCATCCAGAAGTTTGTAGATCCACCCCTGCCTCCAGGTAATTTGATGGATTGCCTGAACTATCTACTATTGTTGAAATAATTGTGCTCCTTATTGTTTGTGTGCGTGCTTTTGTTTCCCCCAGGATGCTGCTGGAGAAGAGTTCAAGGGAGTGGCTGGTTTTTTCTGTGACGGTGTCCCAGCAGTCAGTCACCCTGCGCTACGCTCAATCCAGAAATAAGACTCCTCTAACTGTCAGCTTCAGAACGGAGGGCAAGCTAGCACTGGAGAGGTGGACACACCTGGTTTTGCAGGTACAATAAGGAATCTTGATAACAAATAGCCTGTTAACCATCTCAGTCACAGCCAGGCATTATGGGTCATGTGAGTAAGAGTGTGAAACATACAAACATAAGTGTGTGAAATTCTGTTGAATCAGGTTTGCGTGTAAGTGTTGTCATAAGGGTTGTGGAATCAGAATGATGTCTTTTTATCACAGCCAGACTCTCTATTTCTCTTTCCATCTTTTTCTGTTCCTCTCTGCAAGCAAATCATAATTATACTGGCAAACATCTGTCTTGGCGCAGCTGCTGGGGCCAGGGGCCATTTGACATCTGACACGCATTCACAGACAGACGGCTCATCACACTTTGAACACAAGATTTCAAAAGGATGTATTTCCTATAAGGAAAACTAACTAACCCCCCCCATTTAATCTTTGTAGGTCTGTGATTATTTTCTAGTTTGCTGTGTAAAACACAGAAATTGATAGTGAGCTAAGTGGTATATCAGCTAGACATTTTGGAACGCATTAGACATTAGCAATAAAAGCCTTTCTTTAGCTCTGATCATTCTAAAATAGCAGCTAGTGAAGTGGTGAGTGTCTTGAGGCTCCAGATGAATTGTGTGTGTGTGTGTGTACGTGCATTTCTGGTCTTTTGAGGAGTATCATTTTACGCATTACTCCACTGGACAATCTCTCTCTTTTAGCGGCTCTGAAAACCACCAGGGCTAACAGGAGAGAAAGCATGCACCATGACGACCTTTACCACTAAGTGCCTGTGACTTTTTAACTTTATCTGTATTACCTTTTTATTTCACCTCACAGGAATTTTAATAGGCCTTGTTACATATTGTGTGGCATCTTACATCACTTTCAAGCACAACTTTAGATTTTTGCTTTTTGATTAAATGAATAGCTACAACTTGTTAATCATTTCAGAGGTTTTGGGCGGTGCTTTGGTGCAAGCTAGGTTTGCTTGGTTAGCAATTTTAATGCTAAGTTCAACTGATCACCACTAACTCCAAAGTTAATGCACAGACTTGAGTGGTTTCAGTCTTTAGTTTAGTCTATTTGACTGCCACAAAACAAAAACACACCGGCACAAAACCCAATTCCTATGTATTTACATACCCCTTGGCCTTGCTGGACCAAAAGGCGTAGGCAGAGGCTAGAAGCTCATATCTGGCTCTCACCGAGAAAAGCATACAAGAAATCTTCAGACCAAGACACTAAAATATTAGTAAAGATAATATTAAAAAAGTCATCAAAATGTAAATTATGCAGAACTGACCTTCTGCAAATAAGTTTTAATAACCCCTCTCTTGAATTATAAAGCTACAGTATTTTTCTTTTACTATTCTGTAACTGAATTCTGCCATATTTCATATTTTCATTTTTTGCTGTGTTAAACTGTCGTGTTTTTTTAATCAATTAAAATGTTCTGTATATGCTTTTTAAAATAAGAATGAGGTGCGAAATGCACATAGATAAAGGACTATGCTGTATCAGCTGCAGTTTGATTGAAAGGACGTTTCATGACCAGAGGGAGAAGCCAGGGATGAGGATGTTATACATGTTGACTGGTACTTAAAAGGAAAATTACTGTGCCTCTCCAGAAAAATCTAACTTGACAGTTTAGTTTACAGGCTGGCTGATTGGTGTTGATGCCTTATACAGTAATTTGGCAGTCCAGTGTGTTGTGGGCTAAATGTAGTATTGCTGGTGGCTCAAATGCTGCGTGTATAGGGATCAGGGTTTTTAAATATTATCTTTGTGTTGTATACAGTATGTCCATGTAGGCCTGAAAAAGTATAATGCTCAAAGGGTTTTTGCTAAGTGTTATGTTGGTTTGGCTTGAAGGTATTTTGAAATTTTGTGTGTGTGTATTTCTACATTCCTGTGAATCAGTCTGCCTTTCTTTTAAAATAGTATGGTGATATGATCTGCTTTGACCAATCAGAAGAATAAAATAATTCATCATTGACGCTCATACACTGTTTGCATAACTCCCATTCTCCTGCATGGACACACACTTATCTACTTGCTCTCTCACACATACTGTACACACAGACACAGTCCAGCTGTAATTTGTAGCAGTTTGCCGGTCACAATACAGACATTACCCTATGAAGGAGTTGGGTAATTTAGAAAGCTTTCCTATACACACTCATACACACGCACCAGTCATCTTGTCAGTTTGAAAAGATCAAAATGGCAAAAAAGACACTCAAAAGAAATATGGGTTTCTAAGTGCCAGGAGCAATTCACATGCACACTTTCGCACACGTGTACTCGTGGTGCCAGGAGCAAGGTGCTGTAAGGTTGCAGGTGTTCCCCAGTAGTTGTCTTATGTGATTATGCTAACTATTTAGAGAATAGTGGAGGAAACGGTAGTCTGGGGAGGGAAGGACTGGTTATTAGTCAGTCTAATGTGGGTTTCACCTTTCAGTACATTTTTCGCTGAAATGGCTACTAATTTATAGCTCTCTGTGAGCTATAAATATAGAAAGTGTCTGTGCTTCTGCTGTGGATGAGTAAGAGATGAGTACAGCTGGTGTTTCAGAGGCTGATCTAACTGAACTTGCTGGTCATTTGGTGGGTGTTTTTGTTATTTGCTGAATTTCTAAGAAGAGAGGGGAACATGTGGTGAGTTATCAGTGTCATTGTTAGTTAAGATTACAAGCAGATTCACACACAAACACCCATCAATGGATTTATTTCAGGGAGTGAAGTCGTCATTCACATCTAATTTACAATTTGTTCTCTAGACCCTGACAACTCATCTGCTCCACTACTCTGCTCTTAGACAGTTTGGCTGCTAAAACTTCTTGCATGCCATAATAACCTTAGTGAATGTTTTCATGGACAATTACATTTGAAGACTCTGGTCTGTGTAGACATGTACTGTATATAGGGACTGGTGTGTCTTGGCAGAAGCCTTCTCTTTTGCACCAGCCGATCTGATACCACCAAAGTCTTGCCACCTTTCTTTCTTTCTTGCTTAGATGCATGCGCACATGCCTCATTACTCATCTAAGACAGATTGTCTTTCACCTTATCTGAAATGTATTTAATCTAATAACACAAATCAATGTGTTATTCTTGTCAGTATTGTGCACATCAAACATTTACAGTGTAGGTTGGAAAAAGGTAATTTCTCAAAGGGTTCACATACTAGACACATTTCTAGCCACTGTAGATATGAACCCCTTTCATACAGGCACCAATAGCCAGGAATCTATTGGTCATTTCATGTCCAGGTGTCATGTCTGAACAAGGCCCCAAGTTGTGAAGCTAGCAAAGTGATACCAGCAATTTTACCTGGTCGGAACGAGCTAACGCAGCTACCTCTCTTCATTCACTGTATAGCTTGCTTGACCACCACCTCTCTCTCTCTCTCTCTCTCTCTCTCTCTCTCTCTCATGGTGTATATTTTGGGCAGACGGTGAAATTTGGGCATAAAGATAAAAGGAACGTAGAATGGCTAGCTAGTACAGAGTTTATTTTGAAGTGGTACAGAAAATATGGTTTAGCAGCATGAGCTAACACTAAATGGCTGGAAACTGGGCTGGCAGAGGAATAATGTTGTGTCTGCCTTGCGTGATGTTGGATATCATTGTGGCTGTTCCTGGCTATATCTCTACCACAGTATATATAATTCCTATTTTGGTGCTGGTTTGATCTGTCTTGGACAGAGATATTTTACCTTAATATACCCTCTAATTATTTGTAACTTCAGCTAGTAATGAGAGTCTTGCAGCTCTGGCTGGTTGTTCCCTGGATGTAAAAGAACCACTGAACAAGCTGTGTGTAAAGTAATTACTGTACAACTATAAAGTGACATCTAATGAAATTTCAATAAAGGTGTGCATTTGTTAGCTTTTGCTGCACACATACTGTATACACAGGCAAACTCACTGCACGCCAGAGTCCTTCATGGGTCCAATTCTGCAAAGCTGCACCTGACATTCTATTAGCTGGAGGGGTCAAAGGTTGTCCCACAGGCCTTCACTAAAAATGTGTGGTTATTTGGGCTTGATAAAATTATACTGAAAAGATGCTGTACCTATTTATTTTTTTAATTTGTTTATTTCACCTCCTATTTAGTTTATTTTCACCTGTGAATTACTATAAATATATTTTTTACCCGTTACACATCAGTTTTGAAGGTTACCTGTGGGTACTGAAAGTCAGACTAAAGGTGTGTGTGTGTGTGTGTGTGTGTGTGTGTGTGTTATACATGTGCACGCAATGTTTCTTTTGGCTCTGTGTGTTTATTTCCCTGCATATGTGTGAACTAAATACAGTATATTTGTGTGAAGGTGAAGCAAGGTTGTTATGTAGGGGTGAAGCGGACACCTCGATGGTAGCCCTCTGCCTGCTGGCACAGGAGGTGAAAGGGCATGAGACTGGCATCAATTACATAGGGAGAGAAAGGTGTGTGTACGTGTAGTGAGGTCTAAGATTTTTTTCTTTAAATTAATTAATTTAGTTATTTTATTTCTGGTCCAGCCCAATAGTGATTGCAAGGCACTAACACAGCTAGGGTTAGGAGTTTCATTCCCAGTGGAGCTTTGAGATATGAGAGCTAAAAATGTGTAGCAAGGGTGCTACAAGGTGGTTCAGATAAAAGGCTTCACCAAAGAGTGTATGTAATGTTGACCTGCCCTTTTAGGAGTATGTTAAGGTAACCCTATTGAGAGCAAATAAAACTTTTTAAAAAATGCCTAGAATATTATAAAAAGAAGGTGGTCAACATCATAGAATATCAAAGAAATGTTCTGGTCTTGTGCTTGAGTTTGAAATAAACCTGGAACTGGCTTGTACCTTTGTCTTTAAAATCAGACCTGACACAGCCCAGCTGGTACAGTACTGCCAATCCAAACCTGACTTGTTTGCCTTTTTTTAATTGTCATCCCAGCGGGTATGTGCTGTGCATCTACAGTACAACATGTCACTTACATCGACCCATACCGTTTGTGTGTGGAGTTTGCATGTTGCGTGGGTTCTCTCCGGGTACTCCGGCTTCCT